GGGGGGCTTTTGCGCCGCGGAGGGCCGGTGCGCACACACACATACTCGGGACCTTTGTCATTCTAATGTCGGCAGGGCCGGCCTCAGAAAAGGGAATGCGAAAGAGCGAGAAAGACTTTGCCCTCCCAAAAGCCTCTACCTCCAACTCCATCACTGCTTTTGTCAGAGGGGGAACGAGAGGCTCGGGGACAGGACGGATCCGCCCAGTCGCGACCTTGGCCCGCTCGACCCATCCATCAGAGGGATGTGTGAGCCAGAAAAAGAGAGACAGTCTTGAGTTGTTAGAAAACGTTTCACAATCAAGCTGGTGATACCCCCCCCCCCCCCACACAACAACTGTTGCAGTTTCTGCTGGAATGTGTTTAATTGGACTGAAATGAGACACATACACACACAAATACAAACATGCGCATGACGTCGCCGCGCATCTGCCCGCCTTTGGAAGCTTTCAGTCAGCCTGTATGTGGTCGAGCAGTAAAACGGCTTTCATCATTTTGCAATGTAACCGTGCCCCAGCGAGGAGACCCCGGCGCGATCAAAAGCTCTCAAGAACTGCCTTCATGTTCATGCTGGCACCACTGGGGGTGTCGTTTATTTACGCGTCGAAGTCCAGTAAACCCCGCTCGCGTGCTTTTCAGACATTTCGCAAACAAATCGCAACCAGAATTTAAAAAATATATACTTCACATATTGTGGTGTCTGCAGACATGCCTGTGCCTTTAAGAGGCGGGGCCTGGTGGGGTGTGTGTGAGATACCTGTTTGTGAGCGTCCGGGCGTGAGCTGTAGCTGACAGCAGCTCTGGGTGTGTCGTCTGAAAAGTGCGTCGAACAAAAAAGCGGAGACTGTGGCTGTCCTTTCCCACATGCGTGGGAATTACAGTGAATCCTGTAACCCCCCCCCCCCAAAAAAAAAACGCAATGCAGTGGGATACCACCGATATAAACAGCAGACAGTTCAACATGAGGAGAGCTATTGTCACACTTTCTGTCAATCATTACGAGCACCTCTGTGGGAGGAAAAGCAAGAAGCACGGTGGGATGGAGAAGTATTAGCCCAAGGGCGGGTAATTTGATGCCACACCGCCGAGACCCCCGAGGTCAAAGATTGTGTGGGGTGAAAAGGCAAAAAGAGCTCAACTCAGTCCCTCACGTCACCTTTAATCTTTCACGCCGTCTTGCTTCCACGCTTTCATCGGCCGGTTTCCTTCAACGTGACACCCCCTTATTTGATTTCTGTGCGTCTTCAGGTGTTTATCTTGGCCATGATGACGGTGGAGCTTTTCGGCATCATGGGTTTGATCGGCATCAAGCTGAGCGCCATCCCCGTGGTCATCCTCATCGCCTCGGTGGGCATCGGAGTGGAATTCACTGTTCACATTGCGCTGGTGAGTCCACGTCGGAAGAATTTTGCCGCACGGTGGTGAGCGCGTCTTCTGCCTCAATCCGCTAGTTGGCGTTCTGAGGCTGCGAGCGGTACCCCAGACCAATGTCAAAATAAAAGATACATACAGATTGTTAATTTCCCCAATTTTCAATCAAGGAAATTCCATCCAGTTCCCGTCCCTATTTGAAACCACCTCGCTTCACATATAGGATACCATCCTGTAGCTCTATACGCAACCACCTCCCCCCCAAAAAATAACAAATCTAGGAATTCCGACGAGTGCCAAGCCTCGCCACCACAAGCACGAGTTTTGTGCGATCGGCAAGATTTCCAATTCATTTCTCCTTTCCACCTTTTCCCACCCACACCCTTACCCCGCTTTTCTGCGGCAGGGCTTCCTGACAGCCATTGGCAGCAGAAACAAGCGCTCGGCCGTGGCTCTGGAGCATATGTTTGCCCCGGTGGTCGACGGCGCCATTTCCACCCTGCTGGGCGTTCTCATGCTGGCGGGCTCCGAGTTTGACTTCATTATGAGGTGAGAGGCGAGTGTGTGTGTGTGTGTGTGTGTGTGTGTGTGTGTGTGTGTGTGTGGCTCTGAGATGGCAATTGTGAAAGTACAAATAGCTGTGTCAAGAAAAGTGAAGTACCCATTCAGCTCCTAGCAAAAGTGACAAGTCGAGTACTTAACGACCCCGTAAAGCGAATTCGGAATTTTTTTTTCCAAAAATATTATACTAAACATGTTTGAAGATAATTGCCGAAAACATGTGCAAAGAGTTTGACGGCGTTTCAGTTTTCCTGATTTTTGGGAAGGCTGTGGCTAAAATGACACTCTGTGATGCACTTTGGCATCCCTCCACCGCCATAAAAGAACTTCATTGCTTTCATTCACATCAGAGCTTATCCAGCGCAATTGTGATTTACTCAGTTATGATGACGAGGCCAAAGCCTATTAACTGGTGAGCGAGCTAGTGGGGTATAGTCCAGCATTCCACACTTGTCGGAATCGGCAGGCATTCGAGAGAGATGCTCGATGAACTTGCATCCATTTTTCAGCGGAGCCTCATTTGGTAAACGTGGTGACTTTTTTTTTGCTTTCAGCATTCAAATTTGACGGGTTTGTTAAAACCACTATTCTGTGTGGTGTGATTTGAAAAAGATGCTCAAGCTTGCTTTGCTGATGCTTTGAAATTAACCCTTTCATGCACAAATATTGATAAACTATAACCTGATAAGCTGTCCACTGTAGTAACCGCTCTACCTGAAAGGATTAATCATGAAAAGATGTTGAAAAACGCAACAAGCTTCGGTAAGGAGCAAAAGTAAAAAGTCATCATAAAAATAAATACTTCAGTACGGGACATACCCGAACAATCTGTTACTGGACAAATACTTGGCGACTTCCCACCACTGGTGTGCATCTGCTACTGTGTGTGCGACACCATCCGTGTGTTTACCTTCAGAGAATGTTTCGTTTAGACGTCGGTGTGGTGTGGAGCCACAGTTGTCTTGCCTCGCCCCTCTGTCGGTAGGAGGCCTTGTGGTGTAGCATGCGGGTGGCAATGTTCTACCCTTATTTACGCACTCACACATACAGAGACACGGCAACAAACATGCACCTGGTTCTGTCACTCTGGACACACAGAATCACACAGACACACTCACACACACGCACACGCACGCACGCACGCACGCACGCACATGCATCCATCTCTCCGACCTCAAAACACACAACAAATGGGGAAAACATCAAGGGTGTGTTAGCAGCTGCTCGTAAACATGCATAGTGTTCTCCTACCCAATGGGTGGTGTCTCTCCTTCTCAGACACACACACACACACACACACACACACACACACACACACACACACACACACTCACGCATACGCATACACGGGAATCTGGAAAAATTCCGATCATCTGTTTGGTGCTCCCCACCTCCGTATTGGGTGCCATAGTAAAAAAAAAAAAAAGAGTGGGCTAAATTAGATTAGATTGTGCTTGGGCCACCAACAGACATGGATGTCCCGTGTTTGTGTGCGTGCACCCGTTTTCTACCAGTGTTTCATGGTCAGAGTGGGGAAAAAAGAAGGCAAATAGCTCAATGTTTTTCAGCTGAATGTGGTCTCCGGCTCAGAACCCAAAACCACAACCTTGAGCTCACAGACTGCAAGCGGGGCCTCCGTGACATAAAAAGCACAGTTTGTCTACAGAAAGGAAGGCAAGGGAGGAACGAGAGAGAAGAAAGGAGGAGATGTGCTCGGAGGTTGGCCTCCTTGCATCCAGATGGAGAGGAAAAGGTGTATACATGTACACTCTACCCCCACTTATCACGCTCCAGATGCATAGGGGAAAAATCCGCAATATTGAGAGAACATTTCTTACCGCTACCACGTTTTAAACATATTTAGACATGTTCAAATAACACACTTTTTAAATTAGTTCTCCGAAAAGGAGGCAAAGCTGTTTATTTGTCACTCACAGTTGACGTTCACTGTAAAATCGACACAAAACAAAATAGAATCAAGCATTGGAAATTGAAACAACCAAACTGTGTAATTCTGTCGAAGGAAAGCCTACTAGCTTCATGCTAACATATAATGGGAAACGCCATAGACAGGCTAAGGGAAATTAGCATAGGTATGATAGGAAACTTTCAAATACCTGCAACTACTCAACATACATATGAGCAGCAACACATACAAATGGAGCAGACAACAATACTTCCAGGGAGATATTCTTTCCACACGGTGAGAACAACGACTGTAACTGGAGCTCAGCTGGGGCCGTTTCTACCCCCTCGTTTCGGATTTGCTTGAATACTGTCCTAACTCATCTTTTAAAAAAAAAAAAAATGACAGAACACTATTGTTGTTTGCGTTTCTTTTCGAGAAGTGAGACAAATTGGTCCGGGTTTCTTTGTTGGAGGTCTTGTGGTTCGGCGGATGAGGCAGGGCTGGAGCTGACTAGCCAGAGGAGGATAAATAAGCTGCGGTAAACATCTCCTGGCCTTGTAATACACTGAGTAAACAGCACGCCTAATTCGGCACATTCAGTCCGTAGCCGGCGCGTGTATATACACACACACGCACACACACACACACACACACACACACACACACACACACACACACACACACACACACACACACACTTATCCCACATACATGTAAACACCCCCCTGCCCTCATTCTCACTCATGACTCCCCAGACCCAGACGGCAAATGGAAGAGATTAAAGTTTAGCTAAACAACAGAATTCCGAAGAGCGAGACGCCGTTGGAGGTCCCCGCTGACGTCGCTCTCGCGCTCGCTCACCTCGATCTCACCGTTCTGCATGTGCCTCCTTCGCCTACTCGTTTCCGAAGACATTTTTATGAGGAGGCTTGATGGCACAGCACGTGTGACATGTGATGTCGGCTTGGCTTTGAATAAGCATCGCCGCAAAGAGAAGCTGCAGGAAAATAGGCCAAAAATTCAGATGTAAGGATGTAAGACTCACTCCAATGGCATAGAAAATGGGTAGATGGATACATTTCACAAACTAGACTCTAAATTCCATCGGTGTAAATTTGTGTGTGAATGGTTGTTTGTATTGTAAGAGCCTTGTGATTGGCTGGCGGTACCTGCAACTCCAGTAAGGACAAACAAACTGGATGGAAATTTAATATGACCCTCAGAGAACAGGATGGTAAATATCAATAATGTTCCTAGCTTATTTCCACATTCTCTCTCTGTCTCGCTCGCTCTCTCTCTACTTTCTGCTAGTATTTAAGTGATCTCTCTAATTTTCTCTGGAGTTCTTTCTTGTGGCGTGCGCACCCCCGCCCTCCCTCCGCTAGCCCTGCTTCGACGCACGCAACACAAAAAAAAAAAATAGAAACGCACAACAGAGCGCGGACGGAAGTGTTCTTGTAGCATCAGCCACGGCGGCATCAAAGGGTGTTTTGAGAAGGAATCAGATTTGCCCCCCTCTCATCCTTTGCCTTTGATACACAAACACCGAGCAGGCTCCCCTTTGACTTCTTCCTCCTCCCTTCCTTGCCCTCATCGCACTGCAGAATACAGCTGACAATTTACTGCCTGGACCGATTTTTAAAATGTGAGAGACCCCACAAAGGACCAGGAAATCAAATGAGTCAGTGTTTGCGGTTCTGATCATGTGTGGTGTACTCCTGATGATCAACACACCACACACTCAGCTCACCTCCACCAACAAACCGCAAGGCTCCTGCCTAGAACCAGCTGTCTGGTGTTGTAATAACACTGACCTGCGAGGGGCAGCATTGTGCCACAGTGTAGAAGAAGAGTACGAGAATGGACAAGGCTAGGCTAATTGTTAGCTTATTTGGTAACTAGCGCTATGTACCGTTGTGGTTGCACACGCTAGTCTTTGTCGAGATTGAGTAATCCCGAATATCGGTGCGTGTATATCCTGCTTTAATGTCCCTCACCTCTTGCCCTCCTCAGGTATTTCTTTGCCGTGCTGGCCATCCTGACCGTTCTGGGAATGCTTAACGGCTTGGTCCTGCTCCCGGTCCTCCTCTCCATGCTGGGCCCCCCTGCCGAGCAGCCCGTGCCCGACGACGGCAGCTGCCCGGCAGTGCCTTCGCCCGAGCCGCCTCTCCCTCCGCCTATGGGTCACCACGGTTACTTCGCGGACCACCACGACCCCCGCTGGGCTTTCTCCGAGACATCCGACTCGGAATATTACTCAGAGATGACGAGCACGTCGGGGATCGGTGAGGAGGATTACAAGTACTGCGACCGCAGCGCGTACAGTGTGCCGCCGGCGAGCTCGCACATTCTGCTGGAAGCCAGCAAGAATCCCAGCTTCCCGAAACTCACGGTACGCATGATGACACACGCATACCCTTGATCATTTGTTACTATCATTCCAACTTCGGTTATGCAAATTCAGGACATCTATGAAACTATATATGAAATTCCCCACATTTTCACACAAAGCTAGCCAACTCAGGAGCTATTTTTCATATTTGCTCCTTCTTTCACATCGAAACAGATTCAACCCATTCAAACTTCAAGTCTTACCTTTTACATTTGAAATATTCACTCACTTCCAATGCATTTCAGTTCAGCGTCAGCTCTTCAACTTTTAGATTTCGTTTTCAAGTTACCGTTAAGAAAACTAGAAAATGCTCCTTGTGACACCGCTATGCTCAACAAATTCCTTGTGCGACGTTCTGAACCTTGAAATTTGATCATGGTACCATTGTTAAGGTGGCTGAAAAATATTTAGAAAATCTTTCGTTAAAAGTTGTATTTTCTGTGGTAGGTGGTGAGGCCGCCGAGGGAAACCGGAGCACGGATAGAACCGTCAAATGACTCGTCCCATAATGCTCAGTCGCCATTGAGCTCGCAGGTGACATGCTGGGATGGACCCAAGAGGGACCAGCAGCAGCAGCAGCAGCAGCAGCCAAGACCACAAAACTTACCTGGAGACAAAGCTCACCAGCCTTGGCGGACTTACCAGAGTGGCCCCAGGCTACAGAGCGGTCGAGGGCCTCAGCCAAACAGGACTAAAGGGCCAGCCAACTATGGCAATTCCGTAGCCGGTGGGCCCGTCACCATGGTGACGGCCACGGCCTCCGTGACGGTGGCCGTGCATCCGACCCTGCCGGGAGCGGCGTATCAGGGCTACATGCACGAAGGCTTCGACACGGACACTGAATCGGACTGCTTTGAGGCCACTAAGAGGACTAAGTTTTACTCGTGCAAGAGAGACTCTTTAGAGATGCAGGATGCGGAATGTCCACAGGATCAGATGACGCAACAGACCAGACAAGGTGAGATTATTATTATTTATTTATTTATTTATTTTTGAGCCGTGGCACATATTTTACGCTACAGAAAAATCTCGCAAAACATCACTGAAGGAAAACATTACCAAAACTGACTGCGCGGATTATTTATGTACCTTTTGCCATCTAGTGGTAGAACATTTCATTGTTCTGCCTGTCAATATACGTCACCGGCATAGATAGTGAGCAAAGACCTTTCCGCAAATGTAATTAACTCTTCTCTCATGTTTTTCAGGCGGGTCCTGAATCCAGGCGACCAGAGTGTCAGACTCCTCCGCACACCCGTCCTCTGGAAATTGTACATAGACGCCACATAGGATTTATTTGAAGGACATTATGTAAATCTATGAGTATATATTTTAATACAAGAAAAGAGGGAAGCTATTTAAAAGAGCACTGTATAACTTTGGGTATACTCGTGTAAAAGTTGTTTGTTTTTTTTGTTTTTTTTTGTTTTGTTTTTTTGCAGGGGGGTTTTGTTTTATTTTCTGGGCTCCCTGCATAGTGTATAAAATGAGAAGAATAATGTGCTATATGTACAAAGTGTCCACACAGAGTGAGATCCTATTAAGATATTAGGTTATTGAACATACATGGTCAGTGTTTTATTTGTATTTGTATTATTACCGTATGATTTTTTTTTTTTTTTGCTGCTACACAAAGTCATTTTAAGTGATTTGCCTTAAAAAAAAATGCAGTATCCCCTCTTCCTCCCCCTTCATGCCACACACACACATACACGCACACACGCACGTATACACAATAGATTGTACTGTGAGATCTAACAGATTTCTTAACAATGTGCCTTCATCGTTATTGTCAATGCAGCATTCAGAGTTCAGTATTAAGTCCTTTGCAGTTTTGTCTACTTGAAGGTTTTGTTATTTGTGGCTGCACCTCACATTTAACACAATGGGAACTATAAGGGAGTCTTTTAAATAATTTGTTACCCCAATGGAGTTACTTATAAGCTATTATTCATATTTGACAGCCGCTCTGTTTTTTATTTTTTTTTTATTTTGTTGTTGTTATTGTTGTTGTTTTTCCACTTTATTTCCTCCGCAGTTCATACATTACAGAAATGGTCTCGTCACTGCCAGTGCCATTTGCAGGGAAGATCTTTTTTGTGTCTTTCAAGTGGCAGCTTTGGTTCATTTACGTTACAATTTTTTTTTTTTTTTTTAAACAAGAAAAGAAAAAGAAAGTGTTGAGTAGCTACTGTGCAGTTGTGGGAAAAAAATGTCACCCTACATAACCACCTTTGGTTGGAGAAGTTTAGAGGGAGGTTGAGGGGAAGCTCGTGCATTGTTTATAGTTAAAAAAAAAAAAAATTAATGTCATGCCATATAAATTATTTATATTAAGATTTTATTTTTTTAGTTTGTACAGATGTTAGTATTTAGATTGAAGTTCTATTTTTAAAGAGTAAATATATATTATATATAAATATATCTATTTGTTGCTGAGTTTGATTTTTTTTTTCGTGTGTATTTAGGAAAGAGGGGGCTCATGATTATTGTTGTTGATGTTGTTGTTGTGTTGGGGCAGTCGTTGAGCAGCATGAAGGTGTCACTTTGACACCTTGTTTCTTCCTTCATGGCCCCTTCTTTGTCATTGTCCATGTCTAAAACACTGTGACTTCTGGAAACTATGCTCAAGAAAACCCCCTTGTGTGACCGCTATGTTCTCTCATCTGCTCTAGAAAATTAACTAACAAAAAAAATAAATTCAATTAAAAATGCATTTGTGTCATGGCTGTCTTGTGTTTGATTTTGTTTCAGCTCCAGCTGGGGGTGAAGGGCGTTTCCCTCCGCCCCTGCCCACCTGTTTCCTGTCATAATTAAGCCTTGCTGTCATTCTTTGTCGTATTATTGATCTTGTTTGCTGCTTATGCTCAAGTGTGGTTTTCCAGACCTCTCGTCGTTTTTGCTCTCTAGTTCCTTGTTTGTAAGTATTGATATTATTTTTGTCTGGGCTCTTGCTTTGTTTCGTGTAGTTGGACTCTTGCTCGTTACGTTTATATTCTCGCCGTAACGATTACCTTGACTTTCGCTAGCTCCTTTTTGTTCGATCTTCATGACCAGCGTTTTCTGTTTGGACTTTGCCGGTTTTGCATTTTAATAAAAAAGAAAAGTAGGTCACCTTTTAAGGTGATGCATGATGTGTATCACAGGAGGTTGTTAGCGGTCTCTCCTATTGCAGCTAGAGATCACAGTTGTTGAGATATATCTATATTTCGTTTATTCTCATTTCAAGTTTGTTGAGCTGAAATTCACCGATATCGTCAAAAAAATGGGGATCTGGAGCGCGCGGGATTGGCTGCTTGAAAACCGTATCTTCGGTTCAGAAAAAATGTCAGTTCATATTAGACTGGAAAAAACAATTTGACTCACTTACAAAAGCCAGTGAAACAGTTTGTGTCAAGCGTTTAAATGTGCAAATTGCCTCACTTTTTGTTTGACAACCTTTCATTCTTGATGTTTATTCGCAATGTCTCACTTGAGACCCTCCGCAATGGGAACAAACAAACGCAATCAGCCTAAATTCGAACCATCCACAAACCTCTTCATTCTTTCCTTCCTCACACATAAATATACAAGCATGTGCTCGAGCGCGCGCATACACACACACACACACACACACACACACACGGGGCCCACCTGTGTAGATGAAAGGTTGAGACTGTAAATTCCTGTCCTCCTCATACAACAGCAGCACATTTGTCTGCATCTGATAGCGTCCTCGTCATCATCCGACGCTTGAAGGAAACCTCAAACACGACACATTATTGAAGCGAGCAAACTTTTGATATTGGTACAAGGATTTGGTTCCGCCCCAGCTAGTCCCAATATGTCTGCCTTGAGGTGCCAGTCTTGTTTTTCAAACTGTGAAAACACATCAAGACATTTATGCCTTTCTTTGAGTTTTTTTCTTTGTTTCTGTTGCTGTCACGTTGTTTTGGGTTTGCCATTGGTTTTTGTTTTGTTACTTTTGGTTTCTTGTGTTTTTAATTTAGTTTTTTCAGTGTACCACATCAAGCTTTTTTTTTCATACATTTGGTTCAGTACAGCCTACTTCTCCTGCTTTTTGGGTTCACTACCATCATGCAACATGGCATCCCTCCCCTCCATCTTCTCTTTTTGTGCCCTCCTTGATTCCTTACATCCATCCTTGATCCCTTCCTTCCTTGCTTTTGTTCATAGAATTCTTGTTTCCTTCCTTACATCTTCCCATCTGTCATGCATCCTTTCTACCTTCCCTCTATTTTTTCTTCATCCTTACTTCCTTGCATTCCTTTGCTACACTAGATCAAATCTGTGCTTGCTTCCTTCATTGCATCATCCTTCTTTCCTTTCGTTCCTTGCTTGCATCTTTGCTTCCCTTTTTTTTCCCTTCCGTCTAGCCTTATTTCCTACCTTTCATACCATCATCCACCCTCACTTCATACCTTCTTTCCTTCCTAAAATACGTTAATCTAAAATGCATGTGCTTTTTCTTTTCTTTTGGCACACAATACATCATGTCACAACATAAAGCATGTGTGTGTGGGGGTGAGGCGGGGGGGGGGGGGATATTGCAGATAACACTGCTGACCTGACGTTGTGATGGTGAGGTGAACAAAAGAGCGAACTTGTGATCTGCTGATGTCGTGAGTGTGCGTGTGCGCACCGCTAAGTGGGTGGCCTGGATGGGCCGCCATTGTTGGCTGAATTCAATAGGGCTGATTAGTAAAGAAAAGTGTGTGGTTAGGAGTGTGTTGAAAAACATTGCAGCAGTGTTTGTGTGCGTGTATATTTTTGCACCGAGCAAGCAGCACGAAAGAAGAACAATGTAGGAATTAGAAGGAAAGCAGACTTGAGGGTGACATATCGGGTATTCTCATTTAACAGATTTCCCGTCGAGTATGAATGTATTCATTTCATAGATTAGAAAGTATGACTTCATTTTGGTTCAATTCTTTTGCCTGATGGCTAGCTCTTTGGTAAATCAAAACCAAAGTGTTGTGTGATGCTAATGTGGTAAAGAGCGACGTTAGCTTGCGACAACAGTCAAAAAGTCAGTACACATTCATTTTACTGATTAAAACATCTGTTTTGCCCGCCCCCACCACTCTTGTAGAAAAAAGCTGATTAATATTTAACTAATAATGACTTTGGTCATATTGATCTATAAATGGCTAATTCAAACTAAGATAAATTAGAGCATGGACAGTGCTAATATAGACCGTGCTAATGTTGATGATCTATGAATGTATTTATGGTCAGTAATTTAGTTGAAACAGAATTTTTTTCATTACATGACTTACAGTAAACACAGAATGATTTTCATACCAAATAAATTTAATTTAAAGCCATAAATCAATTACGATTGTAATCAGGCAAAAGCAGTGATTCCTAACTAGTGTGTCGTGAGAAATCATCAGGTGTGCCGAGAGGAAAAATGATCAAATCTCATTAGGTGGTCCAAAAATGATTTACTTGCAACAAATAATTGAGCTTTGTTCAACAATCTATGGCAGCAATGTATAGTGACAGACAAAGGAGTTAAATGTTATTCCACGAGAGGGCTTAGGGTGAATAATCAAACTATGTACTGTATTGACTTTTGGTGACATTTTTATTTGGTGACGTACCAGAATCGTTTCTCTAACACAAAATATGTTCAAAATATGCTTTTCTAATGTCAAATATTTTCTCTGCCATGGCAAACGTTTGTATGTGCTATGACTGTCAACATTGCGGGCTTTTCAGTCTTTCTTCATCACATTCCAGCTCAACTTTTCTGCTCTTTTTGATTTGACACCTTCTACCGCTCAATCATAAAATTCCCTTGTTTGTTTTTCCGCTCTTGTGATTGCACCCTTGCAAGCTCGTCTAATCATCAGAGGAAGGAGTGAAATCAATATATCCTGAAACCAACATAACAGATGTGTTTGTAATTGACATCTTACGCATACGTGTGTGTGCGCGCGCGTGTGGATATTCCTTGGCTGCAAGGAGAAGAAGAAGAAGGAGGAGGAGGAGGAATCCAGCAATCATGTAGACAGGCAGGAGGGCCGGTACAGAGTAAACATGTTTTAAATAAACAGGAAGCAGCGTAATGCCCTTTTAATTGATTCATTCTGTGCATGGCTGTTTACAGAAGAATCTAACTATGAGAGGGCCTCAGTGTTTTGAAGCGCTTTGTTTAGTTCAAACCATAACACTCAGAGGGCCAGACCTGACGCTGGATATATGAGAGAGAGAGAGAGAGAGAGAGAAAATTCAAGGACAAAATTTAAGATTAGATATCACTCACACTTCTGAAATACTCTCACGCACGCTACCAAAGCGCTCTCAGACACTACTGAAACACCTAGGCCATTTTCAATGTGCATTTAAGTCTGGTGTGTGACCTTTTAATTAGTGAGTGAGTGAAAAAAGATCAGTAGTTCGGGTGAGAGCATTTCAGTAGTGCATATGAGTGGGGGTGGGGGGGAATGAAGAGACTGAGATCTATTCAGTTGTTTGTGAGAGTATTTTAGTCATCTACCCAAAAGAAAAAAAAATCCAATTGTGACTGTGAAATAGTTTCAGTATTATATATAGAAGTGAAAAAAATGTGAGTCTTTTAGTTGCGTGTGTGTAAGTGGACAAAATGGCGGTGAAGTGTTCGTGAGTGTTTCAGTAGTGTTTGAGAGTGCTTTAGTAGTGTGTACTGTACAAGCATTTTATTAGTGGGTAGGAGCGAATTTCTGTGGTGTGTGTTTCGGTTGTGAAGGTGAGCCAAAATCTTCAGTGGTGTGTGAGAGCTTTTCAGAAGCCTGCAAAAAAAAAAAAAAAAAATCTGTATCGTGTGTGAGATTGTTTTAGTTTCGTGCTTGAGGGAGCAAAATAATGTCTGTAGTGTGTCAGAGCATTTCAATTTGTCCATGTGTGAGTGTTTCAGTCGTGTGTGTGAGAACATTTCAGTCATGTTTCGGTACTGGGAGAGCATTGAGTATATGAGTGATAAGAACAATTTACCAGTGGTTGAGAATGGGTGAGTAGTGAGTACCGGTATCGGTATCGAGGCATCATTTTAAGGTAACGGTTACTCATGGAGGCTGCCAATACCAGGCACCGAAACATAAGGCAAAAAAAAAAATAAATTATATCAGCAAATCCTCACCTGCGTGAGAAAAAAAAAATCTTCAGAATTTTTTGTCATTGTGTTAAATGAACTTTATATCAAAAGTACTAGAGGTATCAGTAATCAGTATCAGATTGAATACTACTAATATCAGCACATTCAATGTCATATTTTTGGAGGGCCTTAGGTATCGGTGGCTGGTATCGGCATCCTTCATAAACACATGACACCTTTAAGTACAGTAAATCCGTATCAGCGATGTATTGATACTCATCCATCTTGAGTGAGAGGTAATTCCGTATTATCGTATGTCCCTGACGGCCCGCAAAACACCACTGTGTGCCCTTAACAGTCCGTGGGTCTGTAAGTGTTACTAAAGTTTAAATTGCAGCTGCAGTGTAATAATATGGAGGGGGTCGATGAAGACAAAAAAGGAGAAGGGAAGGCGGGGGATGGTAATTAGACAAGTCAGAAACACACACACACGCACAGGCAGAGGGGAGTGTGTGTGTGGCGGTGGAGAGCAAAGCTAAACACATCCAAGTGGGCTAGTAAAAGCTAATGAAGGCTCTGTGCTAGGCTGGCACACACGCATTTCATGTGGTGAGGAGGAGGAGGAGGAGGAGGAAGAGAAAGAGGAG